TTTGGACTTCAATAAGTCAAGCCAACATATTTCATGTTCAGAATGCACGCCGTCCACCAAGGTGGACATGTAATAAATTATTTGTAAATTATAAAATTTAACAAAAAATATTTATTGAAATTTGTTTCATTCACACCTAAAGATGAATGAAAAAAATTGTTTAAAAAATCATGGTTGAAGATTTCATAATTCATGCATCAAAGGGTTAAAAATAAAATGGTCTCATATTGCATAAGAAATCAGTTTGTGCAAAAAAGTTGTCGTACCTGTGAAATGTAGCCCTGTAGTCTAACGTGTGCTGATTTGTAACCCACTGTGATCTGTTCAGTGTGTTCAGTAACTCCACATTCTCCATGTTGACTCTGTAAGTTAACAAGCTGGTTCTGGATTTGTGTCATGCCTTCTGTTCAGTTATGTCCTATTTCCATTTCCTCTTTATTTCCCTCAGTTTCCCAGTTACTCACTCCCGCCTGGCATTGTTAATTACCCCCCAGTTGTCCTGTCAGCAGCCACCCTTCCCATACACCTCAGTTTCTCTAACTAGTTGTCAGATGCTAATGTTACATGTCTGTTTTCTGCCTTTTCTCCCTCTGTAGATGCTGCTCCTGATGGGGCAGTAGTTTCATTCTAATCCAAGTTTGTGTTGCTGCCCCGTCAGCTTTTTTTAAATTAAATCACAAGCATATTTGTCTTTCTGCTACATCTGTAATCTAGGTCCATAAATCACCAAGAATGAATAATTGCTGCTGTGATCTAAGGGTAGGTCTAGATTGCCTTTTAAACAGAACGTTCAGGGGCACTCCACAAGTAAACAAACACACACACACACACGAACACACACACACACACACACACACACACACACACACACACACACACACACACACACACACACACACACACACTCACACACACACACACACACACACACACACACACACACACACACACACACACATTCTTCTCCTGGAAAACATATTTCACCTTCACAAAAATCATTGTTACATTTGGAGCTGTGCTTTTGTCCTGTTTTGTTTTGGCTCTGCTGTGTCAGATTTAGTCATTCACATTCTTTATCGCTGAGGCCAAATAAATAATCATCACAGTGTAACAGATCGATGACATTTATGCAGCTAAATGATGAAGAAGAAGAAGAAAATATTTCTATAGCGCCTCTCAAGATAAAAATCATGAGGCGCTTCACAAAAAAATAAAAATAAATGAAGCAATGGAGGTTTTCACTTTCATTCTACATTCAGCAGCTGATGTTAACCTTGACCTACAGCTAAATGTTTTAGTGCACAATTAAGAACAGGGTGATGAGAGCAAACAGATCTATTCCTCCCTGTAGAAAGACATTTCAGATTTTGATGTTTGGACAAACGTTTTGGCAAGAATCTGCCATCAGCATCAGATAACCCTCACACCAGTGTGTTCAAATGTTACTGCACTGGAACAGCTCAGCCCTCTCTTCCTGTTTGATAATAGCTAAGGTTGCTACAGGATGAAGTCACCAGTTACATGTAAAGGATTAAAACCTGCTCACTCTTGTATGCATCAGTCTCCACTGGATATTTTCCGCTGCATGTCTATTTTCTGTAGACTCCATTCAGATTCAGGATTGCGATAGACCAGAAACACTCATCTTTTTGGCTTTTCTCCACTTAGCTTACCTCCAATGCTCATAGGATAATCAACTACTTAAGTCTTAGAATTGAACAGAAAATGCTTTTATTGATCCTCAATAGGGACATTTTGGTGTAAGAAAGAAAGATTCTCAACAAGAGTAAAGAATAAAAGGCAAAAAAAAAAAAAACCCTTCAAATATTGAATTGATTGTTAATGGTTATTTTCTTTTTCTTACCACTAAAGCTAATGCTAAATCTTGATTTAGCATTGAGAATATTAAATAATCTGAACATACACATCTGAGCTACATGTACCACAGTGTGAAAATGATGTTATCACCAAGCAGTGCCGGCTTTGCCGACAGGCGACACAGGCGGCCGCCTGGGGCGCCATCTGATGGATAGGGCGCAAAATAGAAAAATTAAAAAGTGTATTAAATTCATGTTTGTAATTTGAAATGCACTCTCTACATACTCAAAATTTCCCTCTGCAATGACGTGAAATTAATACATCAATATTTAAATTCTAATAATCTAGCTGCATGACGAGCTCCCGCTTGGGCCACCGCTCCGATGCATTTGACCGTTAAGGGTGCCGTAGATCACGTGCGTGTGTGGCACTGTAGGAGGACATCCTGTTGTCACGTTTAAACTTTTGATATTTTACGATGAAAAGAACACCTAAGCCATCGGGATCAGCATTCCGAAAGCGAACGAAGGAGGAAGAAAAAAAACGGGCCCAAAGCAGAGGTATGTAGACTTTATAAATTTGGCAAAGGAACCTTTTGCTTTACCATTTTAGCTAACTGCCTCTCCTGCCACGCACGGACCCTCGCTAGCAGTTTACATACACAATACAGTATCTCATAACTTTAACCAATTAATTTTACTTTTGAATTGTCGTGTCCAGATGCAGTGAGACAATATCTGCAGCCACGACAGGCACCTGTTGACACCACGGGGGCGGGGCTGTCTTCTACATCTGTCCAGCCTCACTGTGATGATGAAGAATGCAAGATTTTTTTTTTACGGTTTTTTGGAGTATGATTGCAGCCTTTTTATGAACTTTGTTTCAAGTTTTAAGTACGCATACAATATGAATTTAATATGTTCATATCAGAAGAACGTTAGGTGTGGGTGTAGCAACATTTCAACTTAGTCCGACACATCGGGCGGGCGGCACCGCCGCGGCCGTGGCGGGGAGTGAGAACTGCCCAAACACAGTATGACATCTTATGCCGTCTCTTTCTTGTTTACGCTGCAGCGTCTTCTATCCAGGCATCACGCAGCAGCAGCACATTTACTGAGCTACAGTATCAGCATCTAGAACCAGGTGAGTAAATTACTTGTTAGGCTATTTGTAATCAGCAGTAGAAACGGACTTTTTCTAATTAAACAGCTTATCACATATATTGATATGCTAAATTAATTTATTTAAATCCACACCAGACACTTGTTTTTGGCAAAATCAGTGCAGCATTGATTTCGCATTGAGAATATTAAATCATCTGAACATACACATCTGAAATTGTCTACTTACGATGTTATTGTCAATTAGGCTGTAAATTTGTAAAAAAGGAGGGACGTTAGTTTTTGTGACATTAGTGAGTCATCTTCAAGGCATAAAGGTTTATGCCCTGAAGAAGGTCGTACCGAAACGCGTCGGTGTTTCCTTGTTTAATAAATGAAATCCTCAAAGTGCCTCAGATCACCGGTTCTTCTTCCTCATATTCTACATTTTATTTGATGCTGAAGAGCACCTGAGAGTGAGACATAAGTTTTTTCAAATATTCCACATGGATGTGCTCACTTCCACCGGTTTTTGATCATTTTATTCATGTTTTCATAGAACAGATTAAAAAAAGATCAATAAAATAAAAAGTCCAGTGACATTAAAAATAATGAAAAGCATCAGGGGGGGGGGGGGCAAATGGGCACTCTCACGTTGGGCACCAAATTACCTGGAGCCGGCCCTGTCACCAAGTTTAAAACCAGGTTCTGTGATGATAATGGTTTGCATCTGGGTTTCTGGTTATGCTCTCATCTATCTATAGAATGGTGACATTAATACAGAAAAGTCCACAGAGATTTGGTAGCTTTATGAAAGGGCAGCAGCAGTAGCTCAGGAGGTAGAGCACCCCAAGGCAGCTGTGGCTACATCATAGCTCATCGTCACCAGTGTGTAAATGGATGGATGAATGATTGTGTTGTGAAGTGGCTCGGGGGTTGTAGAACCCTAGGAAGGTGCCATCCAAAAACAAGCCATTCACCATTTTTACAGGACAATCTAAAACCACATTGTGTAGAAACTACAGAGGATTTTCTGTGGAAACACATGGATGTGAATACTGAAATTAGTTCTTTTCAAGCCTTTTTTATCTAGTTGCACACCTAAGAGGCAGAAATGAATGTAATTATATTCATTTGATGAGACAGAATGACACATCTTGCTGTCAGGAATATAAGACATGCACAGTGCTTTTCCCCCTCTTCTTTAACCAGCGAGCTTTGATGCTCATTCACTAAACATGAGATCAAACTTGATTCTTAACTGTTGATCTTGTCCAGGATTTTGAGCTTCTATGTAGCTTCCATCCTCAGCCCTCTGTCTCTGTGGAGTTTTGATGTTTACCGGTGGTGTCTCAATACACCATCTCCTCTGCCTCTGTCAGCTCAGTATTATCCATCAGCTCTCCTTTGATGTGTCAGCATGGGCCAACACACATTGCAAACCAACTCTCATACCTAGGTGTTACATTTTGTCTATGTGGGCTTTATCAAAAACACACACACACACACGCACACGCACACTATTTGACAGAAAACCAATACACTTAATGAAGGAAGTGATGAGTTATTGACAGCTGCTGTGCATCTAAAGGTGCTGAGGTGTCTTGCTGGTGTCTCTTGTGTGCTGACACACATACACACACACACACACACACACACACACACACACACACACACACACACACACACACACACACACACACACACACACGGCCCTGAAATCTAAATCAAATGTTCGATACAGCATTTCAAGCAAAACAGTTGTTTCTCATTGGCAGTAAGTGAATATCGAGGACGTCATCTTTGAACACACGGTCAATTAATGCCATTTATCATCTGGAGGGCCTGTGTGTGTGTGTGTGTGTGTGTGTGTGTGTATGTGTGTGTGTGTGTGTGTGTGTGTGTGTGTGTGTGTGTGTGTGTGTGTGTGTGTGTGTGTCAAAGAACGTTATGAAACTTATGCCAGAGCACAGTGTGAGTCGGTAACTCAGGCCTAGTCCACACGTAGCCGGGTTTTTTTTTTAAAACGAATATCCGCCCCTCCAGAAACTTGCATCCACACCACCTCGTTTAAAAAAAAACTCTGTCCACACGTACCCGGATAAATACGTTGTTAAGGACATGCCAGACCTGTAGGCGGCAGTACTTCCCCCGTTCTTAACCTCGTCCTTCGTCTGTGGTCTTCCGCAAGGAGCAGTGATTCCTCTTGCAAAAACAAACAAGCAAAAAGCGCTTGGACAATTGATAAAGCGAGCGCAGCTCTGAGGGCATCCATGCTGTCGGCTAGTGTAAACACAGGTCGCACACGTGATGTCAGCATTTTTTAGTCGCGGAAAGTGACGTTGCGGACCTTAAAACTCCGGTTTTGTCTGTCCACACGCAGACACCCAAAATGGAGAAAACGCAGATCTTCACTTTGGCCGGAGTTTTTAAAAATATCCATTTTCGTGTGAAAAAACTCCGTTTTCGTGTGGATGACAGGCCAAAACGTAGAAAAATATCTACGTTTTGGCAGATCCCCGGCTCTGTGTGGACAGGGCCTCATATGTGTGCCTGACAGTGCTTTAGCATGTTACCCAGTGAGACATCTGAGCAACAGCATGTTTCGGAGTCCAATCAGAGTCACAAAGACATACACCTTTTTTCAGCCTAATTAGTGAATCCACAGTGAGTTTATGTAAATACTAATATTTCAATCATCACCACCGAACAGGTAGTCTTTAAAAAGAGAGAAGGCCCCATGGTGGATGTATTATTTGTTAGGAAACGACTTCCCGCACACACCCCAGGCACACAAACAATGATCAAACACCTCCACTCCTCAGATTCTTTACCCTTTTAGTCCTTCCCTCCTCATTTCCCAGTCCTCATTCTTTTGTTTCGTGTGAAATTAAACTTTAAACCTCGTCAGATTCTAGGTGCTTAATGATGTTGACTTACCAATAGATTACTCTGGAGAAAAATGTAAACACAAAAAAGAGCTTTGGGGACACAAAGTCGGTGTAGAGGCACATTTAGCTCCATGTCAAGGTTTTGGAAAGTAAACAAAATAACTGGTTTATAATGAGAGCTCAGATCACCCCAAGACAATACAGCCATGCTAGCCTGCTAAATGCTAAACACTTAGACCCAAAAGGACAGAATGCAGTCTGATTGGGGTTTGTCTGCATGTCAAGCACTTTCTTTATATAAATAAACTCCACATAATGCCGGCAATAGTGTTTCCCCTACATAGGCTCAGGCACGCCGCTGCGCCATTCTAACGCCATGGCTATGAAACCAGCAAGTTATGTGTATACTTTAGGTAAGATTTGAAGATTTTTAACCAGAAAAAGACCAGATGATTTTTATTTAGCAGACTTTATTTTTATTTTTCCACACATATTGAAAACCATCATCTGCCACAGCCCTTGCCATTCCCAATACTTTTAGAAACCAAACATAAAAAACTCAAATAGTGTAAAATATTCACAGTTTTCACACAGAGGGAAAACTGTCACAAGTTCTTCCCATCTCTCATTGCCAAGCAACCAGTGTAACCATTTATCTTCATTTATTTACCCCTTTATTCCATTTTCAACTATGTCTCTTTTTATTAATTGATGCATTTTCCATTCACCATAACAACTTGAACATCAAATTAAGTTTGACTTGACGTTATGAAGCCCAGCAGAGATAATTAATTTTCACATAAAAGTCAGCTAAAGTTTTTTTATTCCTAAATTATGAGTGTGATAAGGCTGTTCGTAAATATACTGCATTAATCATGTTTTTGGCTGAAGATAACTTCAGCTCTGCTGCAGGGGCGGCGTTAGGCCCAGCTACTTGGGCTGAAGCCCCGGATCTTTCATGGAAAGCCCCGGATCTAAATCGCGGAAGTAACATGCAGTACCAAAGTCCAACAGAGAGGGCGCAGCTGGCAGTAGTTTGTATACAGCCTGCCTGAGCCTCCACCACTGAAGAAGAAGCCCTTCAGCAGCCGGCTTCTTCTACACTCTCTGTCTGAAACGCATGAGTGAAGATGGACATAAGGACGTTTTTTTAGACCAAAAGTACAACGACGGAACCCCAGCTTTGATGAGACTGGTGTTGACTCAGGTTTGTGAGTCTTATTTGAAAATATTTGTTGTGCTGCTGGTTTGCCTAAAGTTAGCTTACTATCAGGTAAAGTTGATGGAGAAAGAAAGGCAATATTTACTATCATCTCACACTAAACACTAACAGGAACAATACTCTGCCCTGAAAATGCTTAATGTGTAGCTTCAGATTAAAAATTATGTGGTACAAGACATATATGATGTTGACTAGTGCGTGTCACGTGTGTGCGCGCGTGTGTGCGCGTGCGCGCGCACGTGTGTGTGTGTGTTAAGCCCCGGATCTTCTTCAGTCCTACATCCGCCCCTGCTCTGCTGCAAGTAGTTTTTAAATTAATTCCATAATTACTCCTCAGTTCTCACATGCATTTCTTTCATTTCTTTGTATTCCTTTTATGTTTCTCTATATCTAAGGTTAGATGTAGACACCCTAAACATTTAATAACAACGCTGAGAAGAGTCCTTTAATGAATAGGCTGACCCTTTGCAGCACACCATTGCAGAGAATAACACCGCAGCTCTTTTAAATGATTTATGTATGGATAGAACAGCAAATTAGATCCAATTACATCTCATTATGGCAATAAAGTGTGGTGTCATTCTTCTGTATTTGTTAGCACAGCACATAAATTATACAGATGAGACACAAGGTGGCAATTTAGGAGAAGAGCAAATACCTTCTCATCCGCTCAGCTGTGAATAAACAAGTAAAGGAGAAGAAAAGCTCAAAAAAAAAAGTTTCATGACAGATTCCAGAAATATATTTTCTAATTTGGATCTTGAAAGCTAAAATAACCAGTTTGTCTGTAAGGCCATCTGTGTAATCCTAGAATGGATGATAGGTTTTCTGCTTTTAAGGTATTCACATAAATGACATTATTGAAGGACATTTTGACTGCTTTACAACTCTTTCATGTGTCAAATTAAAACATTTCTCTGCTATCTTTACAACAAAAACAGCCAATGTCTTAGTTATTGTACAATAACTTAGCTAGCATCCAAAACCATACCAACCCTGCCACTTTGAACAATGATGGTAAAAATGGTAAATGGCCTGTATTTGATATAGCACCTTCTAGAGTCCTGCAACCCCCCGAGGCACTTTACAACAGTGGCGGCTCCAGATTTTTTTTCTGCAGGTGCTATGAAGGAGCTAGTCTTTTTACTGAGGGTGCTATGATGGAAGTGGTCATGCGTACCTATTGTTCTCTAAAACACCTTCAACACTAGCAGATACACATGCGTGCACAAAACCTCAACAACACCAGAAACAATCATTAATATACATCATAAACATATGAACAATCGCTGACTTTTCCATGAAATCATAAACACATACAGCCACACAGAAAACCATCTATAGTGTTGTAAGGTTAGCTAACGTTAGTGTTAGCATTTCCAGCGGCAAAACCCTGGACTGCTGCGGCGGTTGAGGGTTGACTCTCTTCATCCAGATCCGTAGGTGTTTGTGGGTCTGAGATCACTTCCAAACATGCATTCGTTTCTGACTGAACCCGTGGAAATTTTGGCAACAAAAACCGATCCATTTTACCACTAGCTCTACCTTTCACTCGTTCACAGGTGGAAAATTAGGTCAAAGGTTAACATCAAGTTTTTACTATCTATATGATAATTTACTGATTATTTTGTTTTGTTTGTTAAATATTATCACATCCACACGTTAAATTAAAATTAAATTGTAAAACTAAATAAATCTAATATTTACTTGGGGGTGCGATGACTAATCCAGGGGTAGCTATACTGCCCCCTAGCGCCCCCCGGCGCCGCCACTGCTTTACAACAATCAGTTATTCACCCATTCACACACACATTCACACCCTGGTGATAATTAACTATATTGTAGCCACAGCTGGCCTGGGACACACTGACAGAGGCGAGTCTGCCGTACACAGGTGCCACCAGTTCCTCCAACCACCACCAGCAGGCAAGGTGGGTTATGCGTCTTGCCCAAAGACACAACGTCAGACTGAGCGGGCCTAAAACCTGCAACCTTACGATTACGGGGCGAGCACTTAACACCTGTGCCTTCATCGCCCCAAATGAGATGGTAGTATTGACATCTTTATTTACTTTCATCACTCCATCTGGCCTGCACTACTTCATGGATTCTCTTTTTGAACCCTTCACAAAGGTTTTTCTCTGTAGGAGCAGAGAAACAGAAACAAGATGCCTAATCTGACAGAACTCATAAGCAAAATGAGTAAAATAAATCTAGAGGCCTTGTTATCCAGCCGCATGTGTGTATTACCATTAATTTGAAGGACTGTGTTGAACATGGTTTATCTATGTTCAGATGATTGGTTCTGGAGTGTAGGCTACTCCCTTTCCTGGGCTTTTCCAGCCATAATCTATAAAGTATTAGCTTCTATTGTTGCCATCCTGGCTGTCTTCCAACCCTTCATTATAGTGTAAAAGTGTTTTTTGGCAAATGATCCAAAGAACCATTGTCAAATTAAATTTCAAGTAATCAAGCTGGACGTATCACAGAAATGACCATAGACCCCAGTGGGAAATGGTTTCATCTATTCACATCCTTTATTCCTTAGTGCTTTCTATGGTTTTAAGGGCCCAAAGAGTCAGCCATTAGTAACATTGAAGGTACCAGTGTGTAAAATAAACAGCTGCTGACAGTATCAACCCAGTTATTATTTTTTAAATTATTAAAACACGCTAAATAAAATTATCAACATGATTGTTCTGGTTTTTGTTAATGATGCAACAGTGTCTCCCCTCTTCTTTGGTAAGGCTGGACACCTCCAAGGCATCTTGCAGCCCCAGCTGTCTTAGAACATGCCAAGAATCACAACCTGCACCGCCATCTTTGACCAGTTCTCCTGATTCTCCTGATCTGCACGTGTTAATAAACAGGTGAAGAAAAAACACACATCTACCGACCAGGCTCCTTCCCTCAAACTCCCAAGGGCTTCACAGTGGAGGTCACACCCCGTCCCTTCACCTTGATGAAATACCAAAACCCAAGCTTGATATTTGTAAAAACCCAATGCCACCCTTCCCATCTCCACCAGCAGAACCAGATTTGGGGTCCGATTTGTGAAATTACCCGGCTTGTGTGACATCCAATAGCCTCCTGAAAGACCCCTGCAGCAAACAGCCACAATCAAGCATTCCCTATAAAAGTGCTTTTTTTCATTCATTTTTATCAAAAACAAGTCCAGCCTGCCAGGTGATAAAAGCAGATCAACAGAGGTCATCTGGAGGTTCTGTGTGTTTTGTTAACTGCGTTATGCTGATCTAGTGTTTTTGAGTTGTGTTTCATTGTCATCAGAAATATGTAACAAGTGTCTTGTAACAAGCCGCTAAATAATACCCCATTTTGAATCTCCTTTTGGAAAACAAAGTATTTCTGCAATGTATTTTACTTGCTTCACCAAATTAACCTCAAAGGTACATACTGTTTATCAGATTTAACAATGGTGGCTTTTGCTGGTTATGGTTGGATTTAGGAACAAACAATGGGCTTTGGTCATTCCTGTTTAGATTTTGCACATATAAAACCTAAAATGAGCAAATGATCAAGCCTTAAGTAGTGAACAACTTGAGTTTTGACTATAGTAAAATCTGAGAATCATTTGACATTTATAATTACTAATTAATAATAGGCTTACAGAGCCTGCTACAGTTAGTTCAAAACAAAGCTTTTCTATTTTTAAGGATATTCTAACCTTTGAACATCGTTTATTATTTTACTTGCCTTGTTTTCTCTCTCAGTGAATCTTGTTGACTTAACAACAAGGACATGATCGTCAGAAATCGGCTTGGGTAAATCAGTTACAAGAATGCTCCGAAGCAAAGACTAGTTGCCATATTTTTTTTTTCTGCAACTAAGTTCCAAAGCTTCAGAATGCCAACAAGACCTAAAAGTAAGTAGGAAATTGTCCATTTGTATGGGGACAATGAACCTGGGCATAGGGCCAGCTTTACAGCCAACAACCTGCTCCGTTCCTTCAAACCAAATTTAATATCACAGCATAATTAAAGACTTGGCAGCTTCTCATAGGGAATTTAATGCAAGGGACACTGAATTTGACTGGAGGTTATTGGAAGGGGCATCAGTATCACATATTACAAACATAAAACATAATATAATATAATATAATATAATATAATATAATATAATATAATATAATATAATATAATATAATATAAAAAGACATTACATTTTTTAATGTAATACGATTTGGCACAGATCATTAATTCCTCTATTTAATTGGTCAACTAAATAACTATTGGCAGTTGGAAATAAAATAACATTTGCAACTTAGTAAGGTTTCTAAAGATCGCTGCTCTCCAGGACCTTCACACTACGTGGGGGCTAGATTGGAGCAAATTTGGAAAGCCTCCCCAGGGAGACCCAGGGACTCTCTCCCACCTCCTGCACCTGCATCATGCTATGTATCAGCTTTATGTTTTCACAACAGCCCTGTCACAGACACCAGTGACATTACCAAACATCAGGAATCAGGAAACGTCACACAGCATCATGCCATGCTAGCATGATGCTGATGGGAGTCCTAGCCAGTCCAACTTTAAACCCTTATTGACTTAGACTAGGTTCGCACTGCAAGCAAAGGCATATAAATCAGATTTTCTTTCCCCATATCTGAACCATATCTGCATAAATGCAGTTTTTTTTAATCTGATCCAGGTCATTTTCATATGTGGTACTGATTCTGATGCGTACCTGATGTTTGACAGCGACTTCAGTCTGAATGGTCATATTGCATTAATTGCACACTTGGCAATTTTGCTTGATATTAGCACCCCCTGGTGTCTGTATTAAATTTTCTGTTGTCAAACCAAAAATGACCTTAATCTAAATGCTGAAATGTCTCCTCAGTCTGCATTGGTTTCTACAGGAGTGATTCATTATTCAATGAAATTAAACAAATCAGCTGTGTTCACAATCTAAAACAAGCAGGAAACGTGCTGGAACCAGACTGAGGTCCAGCAGGTAGCGGCTTGCCAGTCTGAAGTTGCGAATGTGGTTTTCTGGCCACAGGGGGTGGCGAGGGTCTGAGTGACCTTTCATTAACCTTGTGAAGGGTCATTTTAGCACACACTGGCTCTAGAAAATGATTTTAAAGATGAAAACGTGCATAATATGGCTCTAAAGGTTGGTTTATGCTTGACGCGTCCGCGAGGTCCGCACGGCTCCGCGCGGAAAAGTTGCGTCATTTTAACAACCAGGCCCCTCCTCCGCGCCTCCGCACGGCCCAAAATTTCCGCAACTCGCACCTCGGAAATTTTCTAACCACGTGGACGGTCGGACGTGGAAAAACATGGCGGACTGGCAAGAACTAGTATGGCAGAGGTTCGTAAATACAGACATTTGTATGATTCAGCTCTCAAAGATCACCGTGATCAACATGTTGTAAATAATTCTTGGAGAGAAATAGCTCGCACTGTCGGAAAAGACGAGGAAGCTGTTAAAAAATGCTGAAATGCCATGTTGTAAACAGTAATTTCTACTTCTACTATGGTGTAGTGTTGCGTGCATGCCGTAGAGCTCCATGCTGCCCCCTACAGTTTGGGAGAATATTGGCTCACCGCAGAGACGAGCCGCACGAACCATAAACGCTGCGAGTTGTGAAGCGTGTTCCATCCGCGAGCCGCATCACCGCGCGGAAAGTGAATGCGTCAAGCATAAACCAAGCTTAAGGCTGCCTCCTACGTCACAGAGTCAGCAGGGGTGAGCATTGCGTGTTAACGTTCCTGAGGGGAAGCCCTGACATAAGGATTCAGGGGTCTGTCAGGACATCATGTCAAGCGTTGGAATTAAAAATACAGGAGATCATGAGAGCGGGAGTGGAGTACTGCTGGAGCAAAGCACCTCTCCAGTTTCGACTCCGCAGGACATTTTTACTGAATAATAGTTTGGGAAGACGGTGGAAGTACGGAGTAAAACAGTTTAGAGTTTTAAAAACTGTCTCCAGCCTAAACAGGGAGAAATGACAGGTGTGGATGTAGATGAGCTGTCACAGAAGGCTTTTACATCACAACTCCACCTCTCCTGGTTCTGACTCCAGGGGCGTGTCCAGGGAGTGGCCTGGGGTAGCACATGCCACCCTTGGAATCTGGTTGGCCACCCCAGGTGCCACCACACTAGTTCACCTTTAAATAGGCTTTTCATTGTCCACAAAAGGCTTGGGGGGTAAAACAAAAAAAGCATAACCATTGGTGCCACCCATGCGCAAAGTTGTGCCTCGCCTGGGCCACCCCATTTTAAAAGATCTGGACACGCCCCTGTCTGACTCCACTCTGTAACTTGTCTCCTGCACGTGCGGGTGGCTGTTAAGCTTTCACACTAGAGAGACTTTGATGTTGTATTTCAGTGACGTGTGAACAGCCACACACAAAAAAATCAGATTTACTCAAAAAAATCTAAATTGAGCTTTAAAAGGCCTGCAGTGTGAACCTAACCCAAGCCATACTAGTTAGCTAAACCTACGCAATAGATACACAAGAACTGCTCCCCCTCCTTAATCCCCCATGATCCAAAATGCTGCTACCATCTGAACCGTTTTTAAAACTTTGCAAATACCAAAAACATTTTCCACATCCTGGTGTGTTGGAGTGCATTTGGGAGATTTTTACCTGATCAGAAGATTTCTGTTGAGCGAGGCTGTCCTGCTCCAGACTCACCACACCTGTCTGCAATCACCTCATCTGACTGCTGGAGGTTTGAGGAGCAGTTATGCAACCTGACTTTGCCTGATGATCAGAATTTCTGAGTCAAACCCATGAGTACAGTCATCTTGAGTATTTTCTCTTTTGTTGGGAAAATTGTATTTGTGACTCTAGCTCACCTTGCTCCAGTTCTTTCCTCCTATTCTCTGTGCCTTCCAGGTTGAATTTGTTTGTTGGTCTTCACATCAACCACAAAGCTCTCCGTGACAAATCTCTGGATGTTCACACACTTCTTGGTCATCTACTTCAGCTCCATCATCTTTAGCTGTCATCTGCCTGTCTGGCCTGAACTCCTTAATCATAAGCCATACTGATTCATCATTCTTCTTACAAGTCATCTTCATCGTTCTTCCTCACCCCTAAACACCCCTTTCTTCCTCCAGAAGGTGCTGAAACACTGACTTAGTTGGACATGCTCATTATTTACTTGTTGTAAATAAACTCTATGTACCTGTTCCTTCTGAATTATAATTCAATTTAAAACTGTCCTAGTACCGTATAGGGCCATGATGGGTGTACTACCGGGTAACTTGCAAAGGATGTTTAAAACTCATGAAGAAGGTTATGAGTTGAGAGGCGTTAAAAACTTAATTTTTCCATTATACCGAACAACTATGAAAAGTATGTGTGTATCTGTGTGTGGTATCAAACTGTGGAATAAACTTGATGTGACTTTAAAATTATGTAAAAACATTAGATCATTTAAAATGTTGGATAAACAACTTATAATTGACTCACATAAATAGCAAGTGATAAAAAATGGTAATTGGTTGCAAATAGAATACAGTAATCCCTCGCTACTTCGCGGTTCGTTCATCGCGGATTCGCTGCTTCGCGGATTTTTTCTTTGGAGCATTTTTCAGGGGGAATTCGCAGATTCGCGATATTTTTCACTGATTCGCGGTATTTTTCTATGCGAAATATCAAGAAATTCTAGTTTTTTTTCATCAATTTCATCATAAAATGCACATTTTGTAATAAAACTAAAAAAAGCAAGTAAAACATTTTTTTTCTTGAGTTTTACCCACAAAAAGAGAATGTGATCATACGATAATTCAATAGGGAGCGTGGTTTCACAGACGCGGAAGTGATAGCGTCGGTGAAACGCCGGCTGATCTAGGAAACCCCCGAGCGTTCGAGCGTCAACGAAGTGACACGGAAATGCCGGGCTTTCCAGAAGTAAGTAAGATAACTTACTATGAGCTGATAGTTCGTTGGATTGATCGGTAGGTTGGAAACTCTGATCATGAATCTGAAGAAACAATGACTTAGTGGTGAGCTGGAAAGGTGACTTCCGTTTATAGCCGCGGTTTGTGACGTAGGTGCGACGTGGAGGGAATCCCCGCGAGGGGCATGCTGGGAGTCCCTACTTCGCGGATTTTCACCTATCGCGGCCAGGTCTGGAACGCATCTACCGCGATAAACGAGGGATTACTGTATCTTGAATATCAAGCAGGTCACTGTTTATTTTATGAAAACCTTGAAACCTCACTAACACCTTTAGGAAAAATAAAACACACACACACACACACACAACCGAACTCAAGCTGGTTCTTTTATTCATTTATTTTTGGCAGACCAAGTTCTTCGTAATGGAATCCACTGGTCAACAAAATGTTCAGGGAATGTTGTATGAATTTTTGTTACTTTACTTTTTGTAATAATTTCATCTTTTTATTGTAAGACATGTGGCCGTGCCAAATAGTAAGCGGAAAGCTGCCACTGGCTGACTCTAGCTGCCAACCTACCTCTTGTAGGCAAGCGTGAACTTCAGATGGTCAATCAGTCGGTAGTGGATGTGTTGGGTCAGCTCCGCACCATGCTAACCGCCAGAAAGCAGGTCAGGAAAAAAATGATCAACTGCGCTCAGAAAACACAGATTACACAGATGTGAACACAATTAACCTACCAGGACAGGGCCGGGCAGACCTAGATGTGAAAGCCCCGTTATAGATGTGAATATACAGTCTGCCCATGACCCATTGACTTTCTTCACCGTGGTCATTCAGTCTGGTTACCTTGGCAACGCAGCATGTATGATCGGGGAGCAGAGGAGGTTCTGGGGGTTCTCGTAGTAAGTTAAATATGAACTAGAATCGGATTTGTGCGGCTTATCTCTCATGCCACAAAGGGTCCCAAATCACAGCATAGCAGAAGGATTTCCTTTGAGATCAGCGTGCTCATGAAGAACGCATTCTCCCAGAGAGCACACTCTGGTAAATCCCCCAATAACACAGAACAGCCATGCTATAATGTCAGATTCCCGTCGGTCACAGATGTCTTTTATTGTCTTTAGCACCAGTTGTGCAAAAAAGCCATTTTGCCACTGCCATACTACATACTGGGTAAATTTAATTTGTGTATGAGAAACACTCATGGATGAATGAAACCTTCAGTACTGCAGTTCCCTCATTCCACCATGGAAAACAGTAGGCGTGAGCAGAAGCGCTCAGTGAAAATTCTCGCCTGATGTGAACAGAGGAGCGGACAGCGCACAAAATTCGCGAGTGATCCACGCACTTTGCGGCGCTTCGCAGCTGGTGTGTTCTGAGTGTAACTCTGCTCCGAAAAATAAACCAACAAAATCAGGAAATTAATAATCACATAACTTTTAGGAATTATTATGAAACACTGTAAACACCAAAAACCATCTTTCTAAATATTGTGGTGATCCATGAGGGGTCTAGGGTGAGCGCTGTTGTAGCCTAATGTTTCTGTTCCTTTAAGAATTTTGGTTTATCGCAGCTGTTTAATGGACTTGAATGAATGAATGAATGAATGAATGAATGAATGAATGAATGAATGAATGTTTATTTATATTGCGTTTTACACAAACCAGAGGGTGACCAAAGTGCTTAACATAAATATGGAAAGAAAGAAAAAATAAAACAATAAAGCTATAAAAAACCACTGTAAAAAAAGCAAATTATCAAAGCCAGTTTAAAACAATTTAGAACAAATTTAAAAGTATTAAAAAATTAAACCAATAATTAAAAAAATACACTACAAAATAGTAAAAAGAATAAGCACAGTTTACATCGCTTCAGGATTTTCAAATGCCATGCAAAAGATGTGCGTCTTTAATACAGACCTTAAATAAGGCTACATCAGTAGTCGTGCGTAGGTAAAGTGGGAGAGGTGGGTATTTGTTCCATAGCTTCAGAGCTACCACCGAAAATGAGCGATCCCCCCACTGATTGTACTTAGATCTCGAAACATGAAGATAAAATTTACCTGAGGACCTTGTTTCTCTACTCTGCTTTTGCAATGAAAAACTGTCACATATGTAGGATGGTGCAAGCCCATGAACACCCTTAAATGCAAACATTATAATCTTGAAGTTAATTCTGAATCTAACAGGGAGCCAATGAAGTAATGAGTGTACTAAAGTGATGTATTGACACCTAGGGATGTTGGTGAGCAGACGTGCAGCTGCGTTTTGGACTAATTGTAACCTGACAAGATGTTTCTGAGTTAGACCTGCATACAACGCATTGCAGTAGTCCAAACTGGTCCTCAGCACCCCTCTGTCCTGCATGTTTTCTATGTTGCCACTTCCAACAGCATTGTTTCTTTGCTGCCATACACATGACTTAAATTAATGAGTGATTAACAGGTTTCTGCAGCGCTTGATGTCCTCCTAAGGTAGCAATGCAAATATGTGAGCCAGGTGTGCTGTAGCAGAGACATGGAAAACATGTAGGACAGGGGGCACTGAGGACCAGGGTTGTAGTGATGTGTCGGTCGCGAACGAACCGGCTCTAAGAGCCGGCTCTTTGAAGTGAACGACGGGAGCCGGCTCGTCATTGGGAGCCGTCCCCTCCCCCCCTACCCTCTTGCTTTGGTGAAAGCTACAGGCGATTGGTCAACATGTGTAATTGTGACCAGACTGTCCACACACAGAGCAGTAGGGACGGGGAAGATGGAGGATCAGACTCAGACACACAGCAGAGCACATGCGGGTGGAGGTAGACGAGAGGGAATGAGGAGGAGGAAAAAGGCGAGCAAGATAGAGAGGAGAATGCGACGAAGACGGTGAGAAAATGAGCGCCAGCAGTCGGAAAGTGAAGATTTCTTTAAGTGTTCAGTTATTAAATCCATAGAAATGATAAATATTTGATATATTGCATTTGTTTACATTAGTAAATCATTTTACATATAGTTTTGCATTATTTTGGTTATAAATGTACTCTACGCAACAGAAAATCTGAGGAGCCATTTGGGAGCCGAAAGAGCCGGCTCTTTTTGGTGAGCTGAGCCAAAAGAGCCGGCTCTCTAAAAAGAGCCGGAATTCCCATCACTAGAGGGTTGAGAAACACTGTTTTAACACAACACAACCAAAACGCTGGAAAGTTCCACTAGTTGTCACACACTGGTGTATGTGAAATTTGCTCTCTGCATTTGACCCATCGCCTGGGGGAGTGGTGAGCTGCAGACACAGCTGCGCTTGGGAGCCATTTGGTGGTTTAACCCCCCAGTCCAACCCCTTAATGCTTAGCGTTAAGTGAGAAGACACTGTGTCCCTTTTTTTTGTGTCTTTGAGTGAATTTAGTACAAATATGACTCCAGAAAGTATGTTTCTGAATTATTGGAAGAAACCAGAGAAGCTTAAGAAAAATCAGTGAGACTCCCCACAAAATGTTCCTTACAAAGACTTAAATGTCTAGACATCGAGTGCCTAAGGAAACCAGTCCTTTTCTCCCTTAACCACATTGTCTCTATGTGTTGTTGATGATGTAGCACTTTGCTATCAGCTTACTGCTTTCTTATTTCTTAGAAGGTCTCCATGGAAACAGTTCTTCCAGTGATTGTCTCTTAAAAATATTACTTTATTTTGTGCCAGTATGAGGTTGTTTAAATGGTCTGCGTTTACAGGACCCTTTTGAACTCTTAGATTAAATGAAATCGTTTGCATGTTCCACATGCAGACCTTCATTAGGACAAAAAGCCAGGACATTTGTGTTCATTGTGTTGTTGTCAGAAGTCTACACGGTGGTAAATCCTGTATCGCCAAAAAGCCTGATTAGTCACCTGTACTACGAGGTGGAACTTGTGAGGACCATGCAGTTGTGGAATGAGAAACACAGCCATGAGTGTGTGTAGGTAAGTGTGATGGATTATTTACTCTGTATCTTCTTGTGTTCTTCTGGTGTTCACTGCCCCAGTTACTGGGCTGGCCTGCCCCAGAGCCCAAAAAGACAACAGGGTATCTGCAGGTTTAAGGGAGCCAAATTTAAGACTTTTTAAGACCTTTTTTAAGGCCACTTTGACCAAATTTAAGCTACTTTTGAAATTAAATTTAAGCTATAATTTCCAGCTATTGCCTGGAACCGGTACTAACCACATCGCAAAAGTGGGATTAACCATGCAGTTACCATTAAACTTGCACTTCTCCATGGCGCAAGCTCCCGCTAGCTTAACCAGCTAATGTGCTCATCTAAAAATAGTCCCCTTTCACAACCAACCGACTGTGTACGGTTCGGCTTACGCCAAAATCGTACACAAAAAATGTTGAATACTAACTAGAAATTCACTAAATTTAATAGAAACAAAATTATTTTGTTTGTTGGGTCTTTGGTAATTTAAGACCTTTGGAAACTGTATTTAAGGATTATTTGTCATTTTTAAGGATTTTTAAGGCCTTAAATTTGGAAAAGCAAATTTAAGACTTTCTAAGGACCCGTGGATACCCTGGACAATGAGTCTTTTTCGTGTAATTGACAATAAGCCAAAGAAAATGAGCCAAAATCTTCTGCAATATTTTCTTGTTGGTGTAAAATGGCAGCTAGCCAGTGAGCTAAGATCTCATTTATGATAAGTGTTTAGGAGGAGCCAGTTAAGGTGGCTCGGGCATCTAGTCAGGATGCCCCTTGGACGCTTCCTTGTTGGGGTTTTCTGGGCACGTCCAACCAGGGGGAGACCCAACGGAAGCCCAGGACACACTGGAGAGACTACGTCTTTCGGCTGGCCAGGAAACGCCTTGGGATTTCCCCGGAGGAGCTGGCCCATGTGGCTGGGGAGAGGGAAATATGAGCCTCCCTGCTTAGGCTGCTGCACCCGTGACCTGACTCCGGATAAGCAGAAGACAATGAATGGATGGATGTGTTTAACCCAAAAATGGTGCTAATATCCCACTTTGGCTTATCTTGGGCAACCTACCTGTACTACCTGTGTAGCAAGCAAGTATGTTCAGGGATAGACTGTGCCACATGGCAAACAGAGCAAAGTATGCTTGATTGTCATAGGTTTGCTTAGTTTAGATAGTGACAACTGTGTTTGCATTAACCCTTTTTTAGTTTTCTCAGTGCAATTTGCACATCAACAAGCTGCACAATAAATTGTTTTCACTCTTGTCCCGAGCTTCAAGAGTGCCAGGTGTATTCCAGTCACAGGTGTCTAATTGGGGCCTGACCAGCCAGACCAGCTTCCTTATGGGAAGCATGGGTCTGGGAACTTTACTATTCAAATAACCCCACCCCCTGAGAATTCTAACCGAGCCAATGAGCCCTGAGCAGCGTACGTCACACATTTACAATGAAGATGGCCTCTGTTCTAAAGACTTGGACATGGACAAGAAGTAGAAGCGCTAAAAGCCTTTCTTCTAAAGAAAGAGGTTTGCTCCATTGCTAGACGCCATTTTTGACTACAGCTAAAAAAGCTACAGCGTTGCGCGGTACAGTCTGCATTTCCGCATTTTGTGTGTGCATGGGTGGGTGACTGACTGTGTTGTGAAGCACCTTGGGGGGTTGCAGAACCCTAAGAAGACACTACACAAATACAGGCTATTTACCATTTTATTGAATTAAAGAGGTTTCAGTGGCTATGCTAAAAAAAATTCAAAAACAAACATGATACCAATCTGGTCTGCTCGTAGTTTCTTGTACTCTATTTTGCCATTTCCCTGCACAGTTTAACTTTACTGACATACACACCTTTGTTTTAAACCCTAATTCTAACCGACCAAGGACCGATTCACATGATATGAAATGGTGCCTTGTTTCTGTACATAGAGCAGCGCATGCACAAGAGAATTATGTCGACCATCAATGCAGACCAGCTGTAAACAGAGCAGGCAGCATGATAGACAGAATGCGTTCTAAAGTTTGGGTCCACTTCACTAAATGCAATGGGTGATTTGGTGATGATGACAACATTGACAACGTTCTAAGTTGGTTATCATCGTCTTAATCTACACAAGCAAGTAAATAAACTGTTGGATAACGTTAGCTTGATGTTTGAGCTTCCGTTGCTATCAGCTAATGGTACGTTCGCTCTCCCCTCAAAGATGGTTCATGTAAGAAATAGTAAAATATGATTAAAATACAAAAACATCTCTCTCTCTCTCTCTCTCTCTCTCTCTCTCTCTCTCTCTCTCTCTCTCTCTCTCTCTCTCTCTCTCTCTCTCTCTCTCTCTCTCTCTCTCTCTCTCTCTCTCTCTCTCTCTCTCTCTCTCTCTCTCTCTCTCTCTCTCTCTCTCTCACACACACACACAAACACACAAACACAGCTAGTTTAAAGTGCAAAAATGTAAAAGTATAATGTAAGCACGGTAATAAGACAAATTAAAGCTGCCAACTGAAATATAATGTAAACATAATTTAAATGTAAACCGTCACATGTTGAGGTATTAGGATGAACTAGTTAAACGTAAAGGTTCTGTATTGCACTAATATGGCCGTTGTTTGATGATGTCAACAACAACCTAAGTGAAGCATCATCATTTTAATCTGCTCCAGCAGGTAAATTAACTGTTTAAGATAATGTTACTTTTATACTTTAGCTTGCCTTGCTATCAGCTAATGGTGTGTCAGTTTTCTCCTCTGAACATAAAAATTCAGACTTCCGAGTAGTAAAATTCAACTGTTTGAAAATAAATGGCACAAGAAAAGAAGACACACAGTAAATTTAGTTCATAGCTAAAGTTTTTGCTTTAGTTTAATTTGCAGTTTTTAATACTACAAGGGTCCACCCATCACACAATTCATAGGATACAGAATAAATAGGAGTACATGGAGCTGGGTTAATTCAATTCAAAAATACTTTATTAATCCCAGAGGGAAATTGATTGCTGTAGTAGCTCAGAATAATAATAATAATCAAGTCATCAAAGAGTTATTGTATATTACAACGGCTGTTGGCAGGAAGGATCTCCAGTAGCGGTCAGTGTTGCAGCAAAACTGAAGAAGCCTCTGACTGAAGACACTCTTCTGTTGTCGGACAGTCTTGTGAAGAGAATGCTCAGGGTTGTCCATCATTTTCTTGATTCTCTGGAGAATCCTTCTTTGCATCATCTCCTCCAGTGGTTCCACAGTCGTCCCCAGAACAGAACCAGCCTTTGTTATTAGGCTGTTGAGCCTTTTCAGGTCCCTGCTTCTGATGCTACTACCCCAACAGACGATGGCTGAAGAGATTACACTCTCAAAGACTTGTAGAAGATCTGCAGCATCTTGCTACATTGAAGGACCTAAGCATCCTCAAGAAGTGCAGTCTGCTGTGTCCCTTCTTGAAAATGGCTTGGCTGTTCTTTCTCCAGTCTAGTCTGTTGTCCAGGTGAACTCGAAGGTATTTGTATTCCTCAACCACCTCCACTTCTTCTCCCATGATGGAAACAGTGTTTGACTCCACCCTGTTTCTTCTGAAGTCTAAAATCATCTCCTTTGTTTTGTTCACGTTCAAGGTCAGATGATTGTTTCCACACCATGCCACAAAGCGCTCCACCAGCTCTCTGTACTCAGCTTCCTCTCCATCTCTGATACACCCGACAACTGCAGAGTCATCTGAGTATTTCTGTAGATGACAGGTCTTTGATTTGTACTGGAAGTCTGAGGTGTACAGGGTGAAAAGGAATGGTGAGAGTACAGTCCCCTGTGGTGCTCCAATGTTACTGATCACCTGGTTTGATGTGCAGTTCTTCAGCCTCACAAACTGTTGTCTGAAGTCAAACTGTCAGGTAGTCTTTAATCCAGGCGATAGTTGAGGCCCCCACTTGTGTCTTCTGGAGTTTCTGGCAAAGTACATCAGGCTGGATTGTGTTAAATGCACTGGAGAAATCACGGAACATGACCCTCACAGTGCTGCCTGCTTTGTCCAGATGACAGTGGGTTGGTTGAAGCAGCTGGATGATGGCATCTTCCACTCCAACTCCATGGCAATAAGCAAACTGCAGCGGATCCTGATATGTCCTAGTTGCTTATTCAGGTGGACCAACAGGAGTCTCTCCAGGACCTTCATGATGTGGGATGTCAGGGCAACTGGTCTGTAGTCGTCATTGACTGATAGGCGAGTTTTCTTTGGAACTGGAACAAGGCAGAATGTCTTCCACAGGACTGGAACCTTCTCCTGGGCCAGGCTGAGGTTGAAGAGGTGCTGCAGAATCCCATAGAGCTGCTCTGCACAGGCCTTCAGTACCCTGGGGCTGACACCATCTGGACCTGCAGCCTTGTTTCTGTTCAGTATCTCCAGCTGCCTCTTCACCTGACTTCTAGAGACAGATAGGTGGGACAGGGAGGTAAATCGGGCAGCAGCATCTCCTGACTTGGTTGAAGACAGATTTATAGAACCAGAAGAGTCCATGACTGCGTTAGAGGACAAAAGAGCTGGCAGGAAAATGTTGGATCAGAGGAGGATGGGATGTCTGATTGGCTGGGGACAGGCAAGGAGGATGCTGGGTTTTTTCCTGAACTGAACCTATTGAAGAACTTGTTCAGTTCATTGGCTCTGTCCAGGCTGCCATCTGTGCAATCCTTCCTCTGCTTGTAGCATGTGATCTTCTTCATCCCTGACCAGACCTCTGATATTGTTCCTCTGTAGTTTGTTCTCCATCTTCTTCCTGTATGCCTCCTTGCTGTCTCTGATCTTGATTTTCAGTTGCTTCTGTATACTCCTCAATAATTCCCTGTCTCCCTCCTTGAAGGCTCTTTTTTTCTCATTTAGCAGATTATTCAGTTCACTGGTGATCCAGGGTTTGTTATTAGCTAGGCCTCCCACTGTTCTGGTGGGTATGATGTTGTCCACACAGAAGTTTATATAGTCAGTGACACATCCAGTCATGGCATTGATGTCCTCTTCATATCCTTGGCAGAGAGTCATCTAATCTGTGGTCTGAAAACAACCCCGCAGGGCTTCTTCAGCATCCTGTGACCATTTTCTCACAATTCTTCTTGTCACAGGTTGCCTCTGAACAAGTGGTTTGTATTCTGAGCAGAGAGGAACACGATTGTGATCTGATTGTCCCAGAGGAGGTCTTGTTTTGGACATGTATGCATTCTTTACATTTGCATAACACAAATCCAATGTCTTGTTTTCTCTGGTGGAGCAGCTGACAAACGTTTCAAATGTTGGAAGTGTAGCAGAGAGCGAGGCATGACTAAAATCAACAGATATAGTCACAAATGCATTGGGGTGCTGGGTTTGTAGCTTAGCGACAACGGAACTGATGGCATCATATGCAATTCAGCAATGGCTGAAGGTGGAATATAAATGGTTGCCAAGACAACACTGGTGAACTCTCTTGGCAAATAATATGGGCGACAACTTACTGTCAAGAGTTGAACATCTGGGCTGCCGAGACGACATTTCACTGAAACATGACATGGATGGCACCATCTGTTGTTGACAAGCACTGTCACTCCACCTCCTTTTCTTTTCCCGCTCCTCTTCAGATCTCTGTCTGCTCGTACAGTCAGGAATCCTAGCAGAGAGACTCTGGAATCGGGGATATGGGCCTGCAGCCACGTCTCAGTGAAACACATAACACTGGACTGCTGATACTCTGGCTGAGTCCTTGAAAGGGCTTGGAGTTCATCCATCTTGTTGGCCAGTGATTTCACATTGTCCATTATAATCGATGGAAGAGATGGTTTGAATTTCCTCTTTCTTTGTCTCAGTTTTGTTCCTGCTCTGCATCCACACTTCTTTCGTTTTAGCACATTTGGGATTTGTGGCTTCAGTTGAGGTATTATTTCAGCCTTTTCAATGTTAATCAGCTGCTCCCGATTGTAAACCAGCTTGTTGACATGGTTACGCATCATAACAAATGCTCAAAAAATGAAAAAAGTGAAAAAATAGCAGTAAAATTCCTCTAAGCTTCACAGCACCAGAAACAGAAAAGTAAAAGGTCCAAAAAATACAGTAAAGACACTAGAAGAAAAAATGCCCAAAAAAGGCAGAACTTACATGTAGTTAACAGAGCTACTCCAACATGCAGCCACCCAGAGCAGCGCGAGAATTGGAATCATAGTTTGTGAAACACCACCATATTAAAATACAAGGTTGAGGATGGGAAGTCCTACATCATCTACTCTGATACTGACCACAGGCACCCCACAGGGCTGTGCACTCAGCCCAGCCCTTTTCACCATGTTCACACGGGGGCGTGCTGCCACGTATCCCTCAAATCTGGTAGCGAAGATTTCAGATGATACCAGTGGTGGTGCCAGGGGGCGCTATAGCTACCCCTGGATTAGTCATTGCACCCACATAGCACCCCCAAGTAAATATTAGATTTTTTTTTATTTAATTATAATTTAACGTGTGGATGTGATAACATTTAACATACAAAACAAAAATAATCAGTAAATTACCATATAGATAGTAAAAACGTAAACCAAAACAGGAAATTGATGTTAACCTTTGACCTCATTTTCCACCTGCGAACGAGTGAAAGGTAGAGCTAGTGGTAAAATGGATTGATTTTTGTTGCCCAAATTTCCACAGGCTCAGTCAGAAACAAATGAATGTTTGGAAGTGATGTCAGACCCACAAAAACCTACGGATCTGGATGAAGAGAGTCAACCTTCAACCGCTGCAGCAGTCGAGGGTTTTGCCGCAGGAAATGCTAACACTAACGTTAGCTAACCTTGCAACACTATAGATGGTTTTCTGTGTGGCTGTATGTGTTTATGATTTCATGGAAAAGTCAGCGATTGTTCATATGTTTATGATGTATATTAATGATTGTTTCAGGTGTTGTTGGTTGAGGTTTTGTGCATGCATGTGTATCTGCTAGTGTTGAAGGTGTTTTAGAGAACAATAGGTACGCATGACCACTTCCTTCATAGCACTCTCAGTAAAAAGACTAGCTCCTTCATAGCACCTGCAGAAAAAAAAATTCTGTAGCCGCCACTGGATGACACCACTGTGGTGGGTCTCATCTCAAACAATGATGAGACCCACTACAGGCAGGAGATTCAAAATCTGACCGAATGTTCATTTAACACCAACACAACCAAGGAAGTAATAGTGGACTACTGAAGAACCAGGATATGGGAACACAGCCCTCTCGCCATACATGGTGAGGTGGTGGAACAGGTGGACAACATCAGGTTCTTGGGCGTGTACATTACATCTATTCTGACCTGGACCCTGAAAACCTCCCAACACAGACTATTTGTCTTAAGGAAAGGAAACTGAAGAGGACTGGACTCTCCTTCCATCTGCTCATAAACTTCTATAGGGTCATAATAGAGAATATTATTGCTTTCAGTGTGACTGCATGGTATGAAAGCTGCACAGCACAAGACAGAAAGGACCTGATCTGAGTGCTGAGAACAGTGCAGGGGATTGTGGGCGGTCCTTTGCCTGACCTGGACTCAGTGTATGTGGGTCGGCTTCAGAGGAAAGCTAGATGTATCGCCATAGACTAGACCCATCCAGGATACAAACTGTTTGTTCCACTCCCCTTGGGTAAGTGGTACAAAGACATAAGCCCTTTTCAGATAGACATTCTGGAACATGTGTGGCCAATTCAATCCGTTTTTTAACTGGAACTGTGTTTTCAGACACACCACTTTTGTACCGGAACTTGTAACTTCTGCTGCGTTCACACAGCAGGGAAAAGTTCCGGGGGATGGGGGGATCGGACTCATGTTAAGAAGAAGAAGAAGAAAATATCATTTCTATAGCGCCTCTCAAGATAAAAATCACGAGGTGCTTAAACATAATTCTGCGCACACGAAGACACATAAGAGTCCTGGATGATGAAGCTCAATGGTTAAAGGAATCACTGAAGCGGTGTGAAGCGCTCCGTCGCGCGTCTAGGCGGTACCGTAGGAGGCGAGCTGTCGTGGTTCACCGCATGCTACAGCAACGGGCTATATAGGTGCGCACAGCGTCCCCCGGTCCCCCCCCCCCCCCCGTCCGGAACTTTACCTCACCAGTCTGAATCAGCCACCCGGTCCGTAACAAGTCCGGACCTGTCACTAGGGGCTTTGCCCGGATAAATTCCAGAACACGTTATCCGGATGTTTGTATTCAGACACAAAGGTCTTATGGACAGAGTCCGGAACATTTCCGTTTTTCATGGCCTGTCTGAAGGGGGCTATAAAGACACGCACCACCAGACTAGGGAACAGCTTCTTCAATCGAGCTTTAAAATCAATCTCCCCTCCCTGATCTAATGTGCACAGGTTGGAGTGGTGGGATCACGGTCTGTTTTACTTATTCTTTTAACCTTGTTTAATTCTGTTTTTACTTCTTTTTAAATTTTGTTTTATTCATGTTTTAATATTGTGGTTATTTATTTGATAGTATAGCTGACAGACACCAAATGCAACTTCATTATGTGCATACATGATGACAATAAAGTATTCTATTCTATTCTATTCTATTCTAGCCAACTTTATTTATAAACACTTTAAAAACAGCCCTCACTGACCAAAGTGCTGAACATAAAAACATAAAACAGAATAAAATAGAATACAGTAAAAATTTAAAAGCACACTAAAATAAAACTCTAAAATCAAATAGAAATCCAAAACTTTATGCTGTGTCGAAAGCCAAGCTAAAAAGGTGGGTCTTTAAAGATAATTTGTTTCCAGTGAGGAGGCCTTACACACACACACACACACACACACACACACACACACACACACACACACACACATATATATACATATATATATATATATATATATATATATATATATATATATATATATATATATATATATATATATATATATATAATTTTAAAAAGGTGATTGATTAATTAATTGAGAAACACTCATAGCATCAAAAATTGGTACAGTTAAGTACCAGAATCAATTTCTAGATACCGAGAATTGGTACAGAATCAATTCAAATGTGAAAGGTATCCATCCCTACAACCGACTGATGGACAACTCAGCTGACCTTAAAATTTGCCAGAAGAAATAATAATTAGGGTATTTATATACTGTAGTTCTGCAATCTTTTTATTGGATCTCTGTTTCAGTTGTCCGTCACTGCGTTTTACTGAAGAACAAAACTTGGCATTCTTTGTTCTGATACACACTTACCGTAATTTCTGGACTATAGAGTGCACCTCAATATAAGCCGCACCAACAAAAAAATAAGGGTTTTCTACACACACGCCGCACTCAAATACAAGCCGCGGTGCAGCAGCCACATGCAGGTCTCCGGTGCACAGTGCATGTACGGCCATAACATAAGATAATTGGACAGAAAGACGCTACACGGAGGTTTTTCATTGTTCTTTTAATTCAACTACCATGAATTTTAAACACGGTTTAACATGCCTGCAAGTTTAGAAAAGAAAACAGCACAGATAGCATTCATATTTCTGGATGGTTCTAAAACAAAAACAGAACCGACACGTTGTTACCGGTCATTTGCATGTTTAGAAGAAAAGAACAGCGCTGACACAGCATTAATAAGCCCCGGATGATTAGAAAATAAAAACTGCACACAAAACATGCCTGGCTAGTAAACAAAACACACTTGCCTACCAGAAAAAGTCATTTGCTCTCATCTTCCTCTTGCGCACTAAAGCCATTAAAGTCCTCTTCTTCAGTGTCGGAGTTCAACAGCCTCAGAAGAGCTTCGTCACATACCTTTTCTGTGGCGATGTCAGTGTCGCTGTCCATGTTGCTGTCGTCATCCCTGGGTGAAATTGGCTTGAATGAGTTCTTCCTGCTGCTGTCTCCAGCGCCGAACCATGGATTAATTCATGCCAAGCTTACGTGCAGCAGCACTGTTTCCCTCCTTTACTGCCAGATCGATGGCCTTCAACTTAAATGCGGCAACATATGAACTCATACGTGTAGTTACCATGATGAGGGGGTATGGGTTTGAAAAAAATTCTTCGTTCTGCCGGCTGCTTGCATGTGCTAAATTAAAATGAGCACTTTCTTCGATTTCCACTTTTGACTTCCACCTGTTTCACTTTCTGCTAAAGCGCCCCCTGCAGGTGAAGCCCCCGGTTGCACCTCATTATAAGCCGCATGGTTCAAAGCGTGGGAAAAAAGTAGCGGCTTACAGTCCGGAAAATACGGTATTCAAATTCCATGAAACAATCTGGAGCAACATCGACACACACAAAGCAACACACTCACATCAGAAGAAGTAGCAGTGTGCAGAAGTTAGGCAATGAGTGAAGGTGACAGAACCCCTCAAGGGGAACGCAAACGTAAGAAGGTTCATGCCTTTTTCCTCCTCCCATTTCCTTTTGTGCTATGTGTGTGTGCGTGTGTGTGTGTGCGTCCGTGCGCGCGTGCGTGTGCGCACAACCTCCCACAGGATCTTTCTTCAACAACTACAAAACTAGGACGAAGCCTGAGGAATAAAGGAGAAAAAGACAGAAGCAAGAAGAAAGCACATGGGAAGACACTGAGATGGTAGAGGGTAGAGGAGTCAAAATGGAAAGCCAGAGAGAAACACGTGGGAAAAGGCCAGCTCAAGATGGATGCAGTAAAAAGTGGTGTGGAGAGGACAACAGAATAAGAGATAAAAGGGACAAGAGCATAGAGAGAGATTAATGATGAATGGCCTCAGACTTGGTAAAATTTCACATCAACAGTTATTCTGCTTTCTAAAAGCCTAACAACACAAAAATGCAGTTTGTTAAATTATTTGCTGAATTAGTTTGTATTTTAAACTGGGAATCTGTGTGCCAATTGAGCGCTGCCGTTTGGACATTAAAATGGAGCTCGTCATTTCAACAAAGAAACCTTTAAATGTTCTTGCTGTATTTACATGATCTGGTGTCACTCAAAGCTGTTAAGGTTGGTTTATGCTTGACGCGTCCGCGAGGTCCGCACGGCTCCGCGCGGAAAAGTTGCGTCATTTTGCGTCATTTTAACAACCACGCCCCTCCACCGCATCTCCGCACGGTCCAAGATTTCCGCAACGCGCACCTCGGAAAATTTCTAACCACGCGGACAGTCGGACGCGGAAAAACATGGCGGACCGGCAAGAACTAGTACGGCAGAGGTTCGTAAATACAGACATTTGTATGATTCAGCTCTCAGAGATCACCGTGATCAACATGTTGTTAATAATTCTTGGAGAGAAATAGCTCGCACTGTCGGAAAAGACGAGGACGCTGTTAAAAATGCTGAAATGTCATGTTGTAAACAGTAAATTCTACTTCTACTTTGGTGTAGTGTTGGATGCATGCCGTAGAGCTCCATGCTGCCCCCTACAGTTTGGGAGAATATTGGCTCACCGCAGAGACGAGCCGCACAAACCATAAACGCTGCGAGTTGTGAAGCGCGTTCCATCCGCGAGCCGCATCACAGCGCGGAAAGTGAATGCGTCAAGCATAAACCAAGCTTTAAGCTGAGGCTACATGGACATAACTCACTGCAACAAACCAGCGCAACAAGTCATCAAACACCCATAAATTAATCGTCTTGAACATCAGCCCTAAATCTCAGAAATCAGGCTTGTTTCCAAACTGTTGCTTTTTGACTTCTCTTTAGCTATTTATAAAATAATTATCAACATTCACACTTAAAAGCCATCGTAACCCCATTAAAATCTGTGTTTTACTAGCAGTTGTCATCATGACAGCATGGGACCGTGTGTCTAAGAAAATCTTCTTCTTTATGGAATGATAGAAAATGAAGTTGACTGCATGTGTGTACAGGTCAACACATTTTACCGTTATCTCCACTGTTTAGCTGATTTCCATTTTAAAGAAACCAGTTCAGCTTACAATTTACATAAATTCATGTTTGTGTTTCACAACAGAATGTTTCTGGGCCAAATTCACAACCACAAGCTGAGTTGGTTCTTATTTATTTGTCAAGTAGTATTTTTTTTTACTTATACTTTAATCTTCATATATGACATCATGCATCTGGTCCTTGTTTCATCATCGTGTAGTGGTAATAGTATATAGACAGTATTTTCTAACATATTCACTTTCATCATAATTCCATCACACAACTCATTATTCTATATGAAAAAGGAGTAGGCAGAATTATAAACATAGTTAGCTCTACCCATTAATTTATGCTTTACTAAAGAAAAAGGTTTTTAAATCACAAAAAGAAAAAATAATCAAGAAATACTGAAGAAACAGAGCAAAAAAAAGGTTATTTTAACTAAAGAAAAGACTAAATAAGCAAAGCAACCAATCATCAAATAAAGAAACAGAACAAAATGGCACATTTATTTTCTACTTTAATTACCTCTAGGGGAAAATCATGTTTTCTATCTTTGTTTTTAATTAAAAAATAAAATAAAAATTGTGTCTTATTTTGAACCGTGTTAACTTTCTTGTATTTGCCCCGTCTGATTATTCCACAACATAACGCCTGATCATACCTTTTACATTTGTCCATATGTGTTTTGAAATATATCCCTCTTAAATAATATCCCCTTACTTTTCTGCAAGCATTGCAAATATATATATATATATATATATATATATATAGTTATTATTTTATTTTTATGTTATAGTATTATTTAAGTAAGTTATCACTTGTATTTATATTAGTTGTCCAGTTTAAACATTAACCAAAAGTTTTTTTATGTGATCACCTGCATAGTCAATTAGTTAAATGTTCATTTTCTGCACTGTATTTATTGCATCTGCACTTTATGCTAATGTCTACGCATGGGACAGTGAGAAACGTAATTTCAATTCCTTGTATGGCAAGCACATTCGAAGAAATTTACAAATAAATATTCTAATTCTAATTGCTTGTGCATGTGTTTCCCCAGATCTCTGCACAATAACACAAATATGGCAGTAGTGATGTACAGAATAATGTATATTGTGGTGCTTGAACATATGATTTGTGTAGGCACCCCATGCCAATTTCCCCCTAACATATTTAATGTGTGATTTCTAACTGAGTTTGTTGTCCGGGATCACAAGACATTATGTTTCAATTTACTCTTTCTATGAAAAACACTGTCAATACATATTCCTACTTCTAAATTCATCTTATGGTTTAATTCCAAATAACACATATTTTGCTTTATCCCAGATTAATAATAATTCATTCATATTAAACCACTTCTTTAATGCATTTAAGTCTGTGATCACCTCCAGTGCCGGTTGTATTTGTATCAGCTGCAAATAAAACAAATTTTATTTGTCTGGTTCTGGCCTCCCTGCACTGGCTTCCGGTCTGTTATCGTTCACACTTTAAACTCGTCATCTTTGTTTACCATTTCTTTCAGGGTGGTGCTCCCCCCTATCTAGCCACACTCCTGAACAAACATTCCCCATCATGTGCTCTGCGCTCCTCTGACCAAGGCCTGCTTGCTGTCCCTCGTTCTAGGTGTCGTAATTGCGGGGACCGGGCTTTCTCAGTCCTAGCACCGACACTCTGGAACCAGTTGCCACCCTCCGTTAGGCTGTACCCATCTCTGCTGGTCTTTAAGAGTCGCCTAAAAAACCCACCTCCTCCGCTTGGCGTTCCCTGAACGTGTTTGAATTTGGCCTTCATTTATGTTGATTTTATTTCCCTGTTTTCATTGGTCTCTTTATCCCTTGTTTTACCCGTTTGTCTTCCACTTTAATGTTTGATCTTTTTTGCACTATTTCAATTGCTTTTATTTTCGATATATTCATCATGTTTCACATTTCTCATGTACCATGTTCAGCGCCTTGGGCTTCCCGACAGGGTCGCGGAAGGTGCTTTATAAATAAAGCTTTGATTGATTGATTGATTGATTGATTGATTGATTGATTGAAAAAAAAAACATTTCTGGCACAGTTTTAGTACAATTACAGTTCTACCATATAAAGCTTATTTCTTGTAACCCAAGAACAATTAACACAGCAGGAAGACTAAAAATAACCTTGTTAGAAAGTAGAGAGAAGGAAGTTAAGCTCACGTAGTGGATAATTAACACTGCATGAGAATGAGAATAGAACTTAAGCAGGTGCTGTTCCCCATCCCTTCCCTCCTATAGAAGTTATTCCCTTATTCTGCCAGCTGTCTATGACCGGGCCTCACTCTTCAAAATCAGAAGGATTATTTTAACATTACATGATAGGTCTTCCTTTAGCTTGCATCTTAGTTTTTAAACTCAAACGTACATGGTGGCTGTTTATTATAACCTACGCACACACACTACACCTACTTCCAGGTTACAATGTTATCCTGTTGTTTCCTGAACGACAGAAAACATCTTCCTGTCCAGATGACCTACAGATTGCTCATTTGTTAATTTATTCTTCAAATGAAAAAAAAAAACAGCTATGAAGTTTTCTAAACTTTTTTAATAGAATAATTAACTTTAGAACATTATTTATATGCAATACAATATCCAGTATGTATTCAATACTTGTGTAATACCAGATATACATTAGTATGTATGTGTCTCTTATGCTACATAGTTCTAGAAACACAACTTTTTGTTTTATTCACTGTTTTTAGTGGTTGAAGGTTACAATAATAACTTACTGCTTTGGGGTGTTTATTTTTCGTCTTCCTTTTCTCTAAGTGAATTTCCCTTCTGTGGGATTAATACAGTTTATTCTATTATTTATTTATTTATTACTAAACACACTAGATGCACACACCTTGTCATGTCTGTAGATGTCTTATCTTACAGATTTTTGCAGGGGGTTGTAAATTTCAACAGAAAAAATGAACACAAAACCTCTTTTCCCTAAAAGCAACCTCGCATCTGTCTTACTAAATTTGTTTTCATCTATAAAAAGAAAAATCTGTTTCTGTTCTGTTGATTTCAGTTCTGTGTGAATAATCTATTATGCAAGCTTCAATAATCACCCTGCTCATGTCATTATTCACTCTGTACTTGTATGTGCACGAAGAGCAGATAAACGACGAAAAGGAGCAAGTGCAGTACGATTAGGGTGTATTTATCTATTAGGAAGCAAAATGATACACAAGAAATGAGCTGCTGCCAGACTATGACATTAACACCCGGACCTTAGCAAGGACGCCGTCAGCATCTCTCTCTCTCTGTCTCATACACACTCTCTTACACACATGCGCACACACACACTTGCAACATGTGCACCCATCCAAAAAAAGAGGGACTGGCTGAGAGACAAAGGGAGAAAGATGGAGAGGAGGCGGAGGGCATTATCTTGATGAAACAGTGCTTGATACAGTGGCCCGAGCCAACTCGAATACAAGTCTGCTTTCTTTTAATGGAGATTACACAGTCAAGGTCCAACCTGAGCTCATCTTATTTAACACTGCATACAGCTACATCATCATGACTTTGTGTGTGTGTGTGTGTGCGTGCGTGCGTGTGTGCGTGCGTGCGTGCGTGCGTGCGTGTGTGTGTGTGTGTGTGCGTGTGTGTGTGTGTGTGTGTGTGTGTTACATGTACTACAAACATATATACACATATGCTAAGATGCCACACATTAGCCATCATCACATCCTCTGATCCAAGATCTGACAGCCAATCAGATCTCTCACACTCCTGCTGACCACAAAGAGGACCACTCTCCGTGGTGCAACACACGTCATCATTTCATCATCAGTAGGTCTACAAATTAGTTGTTCAATTCAGGGTTTCAGAGGGGCTTCCCAAACAAAACCGATCTGAACACATCTTTGCTTCTGGAAGGTTGTAGATAATCAGCCAGAAGAAAACTGGTTCTGACATCTTGACTTAATCGCTTGTGAAATTAGTCTTCAAGTCATTTCCACCCAGTGTTAAAAAGTCCCTCTTTAATTTTAGCATTCTAAAATTCAGCAGATGCCCCAAGTCATGTCCTGAATTAATTTGTAGACCTAAGTTTCATGACTCCTCCCTACAGTGTCCCATACCACTCATTTCTTCTCCACAGAGCCAATGCTTCCCTTCATCCCTCTGTGATACAGCATAGGTTACATTCAGATTATACATACCTCCTTGTTTACATATTTTCTTGCCTGGTTTCCTGGCACATTCCTTGGATATTCTTTTGACTGTAAAATGAATAGAAAACTAAAGAATAACATGGAGCTCCTGGACGCGCAATGCACACAGGAGCTGGCATGCACGCACACACGGACACAAACCATATAGACAAAGCTGATTGACTGAAAGAGACTTAGAGAGGAAGGAGAGGAGAAACAAAGACAAGAGAGGCAAAGAAATGAATCACACCAGCTCAATCAGAGCAGTATTCAGTCTATCAGTCAGCCAGCCAGTCATTCAGTCAGCCAAATCAATTGGTGATGATCTTGACAACGACTGTCTTGTTTAATGAACTGTGGCTTTTGTGGCAGAGCACAATACATTATGATGAGACACAGACATGAGGAGAGAGAGAGAAGGGGCGGCAGTGGAGGGTAACTACGGCAATGAGGAGGAAGAGGAGCGGGGAATGGGAGGATGATCTGTTAGGGGAGCAATAAGTTGCATAAAGGTCAGACAGGATGGAAGATGGAGAGGGGAGGGGGGAGGGGCTTGGGGCGGCAGTGGATGGATATTAGAGGTGTAAACACATGTGCACATTGCTTTCCCTTTCACAAATCACTTCCACACACTCAGGTTGTATAAACATTGTCATGCACATTAAACATGCACAAGGTCATGCTTTCCCTCTACAGGCGGACAAAGACAGATATGTACTCCCACACTAACGTCAATCCCAACAACACAAATCCTCTACGGTAAACGGTCGTGGGTCTCATTTTATCCACTCTCCCTCCCACTCTGCCCACAACCATCCTACCCTGGGCCTGCAGGCCAACTCACCATCCTCAGTTGGGACGTAAATGTTAAGATAGAGGCAGTCCTCACTCTGGTCCTGGACAAAAGTGGAAACCACATCGATGTTATTGGTAAACCACACTGGTAGCATTACATCCGGCAAGCGGCCCTCCATGATGCTCTGAGGACACACTGGGGCAAAGTGCGTGGCGTTGCGGATGTCTGACCATGGCGTTGGTGGTTCAGGAGGCTGAAAGCGCCGCTCTCCCGTGGGTGGAGCAGCGTATGGGACGCCCAGAAACTGGATTACAGGACCAAGAATCTCATTGTTGAGCTCCTTCTTAATGCCCCGCAGCTTGCCACTGACCACTGTGACCACTGGGTCATTCTCATCAAGTTTTTGAGCCAACACGGCAGCTGGACACGCCTGAAGGAGCAATAGTCCTAGCCATATTAGGGTGGATGTCCACCAGCCCATATCCATCAAACCTCCAAGTAGTTCACATCCAATCCTTCTGCCCCTCTTCTGGGCAGTTTGATGGAGACTGGACCAAATCTTTGAGTGGGGCCTCCACTGGGCCATGACTGTTACTACCTGCTTTTAAATTTTTCTTCTGTCCTCCTTTGTCCTTGATTGGTGAAATTAAAGTTTTTCCCTGTGTCTCACTTACGCCACGTAGCTGCAAATGCAGACGCACAAAGACAATGAAACCATATTTACACACAGGCAAATAAGCAGGTAACTCCAAGGCAGACGGTGGTCGTGGTTGTTAACAATGCTTTTAAAAAGCCAGTCAGCCCAAATCATCCAGAGGGAAGTTGGCAGCCAGTAATTATCCTCCAGCTCAGTGAAGGAAACTCAGAAAAATATTCCTCATAATATGAAAAATTATCCCCGGAAAGGTCCCGTCAACATCCTCCAAAAGACAGAAGAACACTTTCATCTTTAAGCATCGTTTTATAGACGGTGGAACAGCCAGCCAGGGAAGAGGGTTCCCGTCATTCTGAAGCGAGCGCATAGACTGAGAAGTTGCAGAGCAGTGGGGGTAGTGGCTCAGATTATGTTGACAGAAGTCCAGTCTGCATTCTGCAACACAGAAAGAAAGAACAAAAAATAATTAGCAACGCTGTCAGTTGAGTGCCCTTTATTTTGACTTATATTGGGCCTTTAAGTAGACTCTATGAAAAAAGCCCAATAAAGTTGTCCTTTACCCAAATGCACAGGCATCAGTCAATAAAGTGGGATATTTTATTCATAACACAAGATAGCAGACAATATTCTACATTAACACATGTACTAATAAAATATACATGATTTATTGAAAAGTTAGACTTTCAATAAACCAGCAACAACAACAAATCACTGACAGGCTTAATGGTCCTTCTGCTGGGAAAAGAAGAAAATACACCTTTCTATGTAAAACTCACCAGGCGCTTCAAAAGCACAATAAGAAATTAAAGATTAAATCAAAATTAAAATATTGATGAAATAAAAATAAACAAAGAAAGAAAAATGACAAATGAGGTTAGCAGGATACATGCTAGCCTATTAGGTATGGCACATTTTAACCGTCTATGAGCCACCTGGACAGGAGACATACTAATGTAATGCATAAATACAATTTCCTGTTGTCTAACTTGGGATTAACAAAAGGGTTTTACGTTCCTGCCTCGGGTCATCACCTGCACCCCAGGTCCTACATCAAGCATAACACAACATGACAGAAAGTGCCATTTTTAAATTCTGGCACTTTGGAAGTTTTACATATATCTTAAATGATTGAGGAGTTATGGTAAGTATGGGCATTTGAGCCAATTCCTGTTGGTGCAATCAGGATGGGCGATAAGAGGGTCAGGAGGCAGAACTGCTTAGAAGCTCAGAGAAAAACAACTAAAGTAAGAAAAACTGAAACTATTCTTTCACTGAATAGTCTATGACCAGTTAGGTGATCACTTAAATCCAATTAAAGCACAGCAGAAGAATACAACTCCTCTGTTATTTTGCATCCCTCTTCTCTACTGACGTGACCTCATTGCTGTGTTTTCCTGTTCCGTCTGTTTGAAAAATCTCAAACTTTGAAACAATCACTTAACTTCTTTATAGACATGAGTAATGTTAGATGCTTTACCTGCACTGGTCAAGAAGCTATCAGGTTATTTTCCAAAGTCTGGTGAAAAACATTGGCTTGTTTTTAATCAATAGTGTTTGTTCCCCACTAGATGAATCACACACAACCTCACACACACATCCCAAAACACACAAAGGTGCTGAAAGGACAACTCCTTTAATTTCCTGGGCTCTGCCTCTTGTCTCAGGGCTTCTCTTCAATCATCTTCCCAACCAACACACACACGCGCACACACACACACACGCGCACACACACACACACACACACACACACACACACACACACACACACACACACACACACACAACAGCTTATATTTAACAGTTGAATCCATACATCTGAAATCATAAAACTCTTATAACTGATTTTGCTACAACTGACTATATGGATGCGACCTATTTCAGTCCATTTTTAATAGAGTATGTGCAGGTGAGACATAAAGTGATGCAACACCTCACTTCTTATTGCTTTTGAGAGTTGCACGGGTGTAATCCATATTCATGGAGAATTATTAGGGAAGCTGCTGTGTTGATGCCAGAGGATAAAGTGTTGTTACCTTTAAGTCAGCAGTTTTACTATTTGCTTTGAAACAAAAGGATAAAAAGCTTAAACATTTTTACTTCAAAGACAATAACGTAAATCAAATGGTCCATTTGGATCATTTAGAAAATAAACCTGTTGAACATATCCTGACAGTTTCAATCACCAGGTGGTTAACTGAACTGTCTTTTGTCTTTTAAGAGTCTAGTTTGTAATCACAGAGGACTTTTCCTCTGACCAGTGAAGCGTTTTTATTCCTAAATGATTATTCCAGTATGTTTGTGTGTCATTCGTTCTTTCCTTTTTCAATAAAACAAATCTAAATAGAACAATGTTTTAAACTGTTAGATTTTGAGGTTTTTATTTTCTTACTTTCTATTTGACGCTAAGATCAAAAACGTGAAATAAAAAAATGACTAAGTAAATGTTACCTTTTTGTTAGTGTTGGGCCAGGAAAACTATACACTTGATTGACTTTTCACTTCTTCTTTTTTTAAATGGTAAATGGCCTGCATTTGATATAGCGCCTTCTAGAGTCATGGAACCCCCCAAGGCGCTTTACAGCACAATCAGTCATTCACCCATTCACACACACATTCACACACTGGTGGGGGTGAGCTACGATGTAGCCACAGCTGCCCTGGGGCGCACTGACAGAGGCGAGGCTGCCGAGCACTGGCGCCACCGGTCCCTCCGACCACCACCAGCACGCAACGTGGGTTAAGTGTCTTGCCCAAGGACACAACGACAGCGGCAGACTGAGCGGGGCTCGAACCTGCAACCTTCCGATTACGGGGCGAGCACTTAACTTAACTGTAAGTGAATTCCAACACTACAGGAGCGCTGGTCTCGTCTGTATCATTATCATTTAATTCTGTCTCCTCTTCAAAGGTAACCAATGGTGGGATTTTGCGAAGCTGGTTAAAGTTTCTACATCTCCTTAGTTGAGTGATGTGTTTGGTACATTTGTCAAGATGTCCTTGTAAACCTTTGGTCTTTTGCAAGAAGAGGGAAAAAACAAGTAATGACGAAGACTAGGACGTAGCCTAATACTATCGCGCATACTGGAAGACTGTCAGCGGTATTGTTTAAAACAATTTTTTCAATTTCTATGGCAGAAGTGGTGTATGTTCCCGCGTAAGTGTGCACCTACAAAGGTTAGGTGCCAAATAAAGACCAGGATTACTGTGCTCAAAATGTCTGGAACCATTGAAAATGAAGAAGAGAAGAGAAAAAGTAGAATTTCTGAGCTGAGTGGAGCCAGTCAATTTCACATAGAGTTTTCACGCCTTGAGTTAGTGAGAGACACGTGATAGCCGTTAGTGAGCCGTGTTGATTGGTTATTTCATTCAGTCACAAAGTCATGCTATCATCATGCAGAGTAGCCAGCTCAGTTTCTGTGAAGGTTATGACAGGTATTTTGGTTTCTTTTACCCAATCGGTCTACTTGGTATCCTGTTTAAGGTTTATTGGAGTCTGATTATAACCCTTTAGCGGATTTAAGCTAGCTGTTTGTTTACTTCATCTAATCTCCTTTTATTCTGTTTCCAGATTAACTGTTTTATGGAACCTGGTGGGAGATTATGGGATGGTGGAGCTTGTTGTGTAGGGTTCGCTGGTTGAAGTGGGCAGCAAACCAGGCATCCTTGGATGTAATTCTGTACATCTTTTCGCATTTCTGGCCAACATGCAACTTGTCGTAATGTATTGAATGTTGCTTCCTCACCTTGGTGTCCTGCATACGGATGATCATGGGCATGTACAGGCATCACCCCCTGCGGGTATGAGGCACAACAAAAGTGGGTAAAGGGGATGCATCGGAAACATGCACCAAGACACCGTTGCTTATCTTCAAGAAAGAACGTTCCTTGAAAAGCGCATTAAGTACTGGTATGTATTTAAGCTCATAGTGTGATGGGGCAGCGCGATTAGGGTTGGACAGGTAGTCAAGAATTCTACTAACGACTGGATCCATGGACTGTAGATCTATCAGATTCTGGCCTGACAGGCAGGGCTCCACCGAAACAGCGTCAGCTGTTTGCTGTGGAGGATCTAAATCTTGGGTAGCGACTAGTGTCCGAGTTACCACCGGAAAGTTTTTAATGGGAGCTTGCACGGTAGGATGCTGATTGATAGCAACCTGTTCTGCATCTGTCCCAAGTGACAACATAACATCACTCACCTGAGTTTTGTGGATAGTCACCCCATTCTCTACATGATAACCATGCTCAGGGGTTGATGGTTCCAAACTACGGAGGCAGTTTTCCTCTTGGGTGAGCAAGTTCGAAACGGGCTCAATAGTCTCAGCGGTTTCAGGTGAGTCCTCACTCTGGATTGCTGAATCAGATTGGTTGGTGATTTCGACCTTTAACGTGGTTATCACGCCCTCATGACATTCAAGATTCTGGTGTGGAAGGAGTGGCAGAGGTCTGTGTACCTGTGGCCACAATGTCAGGTGTTTAAAATCCATTAAAGACTCAAACCGGTTCAATAGGTCTTTCACTATCAGAAGAGGAATGGACTCCAAGTTTGAGATGAAAATGGGATGAATCGCCATCGTAGGACCCAAAAACAATCGGATCAAAGACACTGAGGACAAAATGGTGTTCTGGGAGAAGTATGACCTCACTTCCAAGGAACATGGTTGGACCTTCAATTCCTTGCCAGCTTGGTGGGCTTCCAAACGCAAGGTTTTGAAAAGCGAGAAGGACATGATAGTAATATCTGAAGCAGTGTCCAACAACGCTTCATGCGTTGATGCATTCTTGAGGGTTAAAGGCATGTAGAGTTTCTCTGTGAGGTTGCAGAGAAACTTTGGAACAGGGGGCTCAACGTGACTCATTTCCTTCACTTTCTCAGATGCTCGGTGATCTGACTCCAACTGCAACGCCAGGGTGGCGGTGGTCAGAGGGCTGGTGGCGCCCATGTTCGGCAGGCCTCCTCCCTGTCAGTGCGCCCCAGTTCATCATCACCGGTGTGTGAATGGGTGAATGACTGATTGTGTTGTGGAGGGCCTTCAGGAGTTGTAGAACCCTAAGAAGGAGCTATACAAAAACAGCCCATTTACCAAATAGCTAGTAGGTATTTATTAGTATATATTTAAATAACTCAAATCAATAATGATGTGACAGCATGTCCATCCATAAGATACTGCACAGTTCTGTTATTAAGTAATGGGCTCGACATATGGGAGGCGACAAACGACCGCGATCAGCGAAATTTGTCGCTGTCGCTTTTATTACCTGACACACGGGAGGCGATCCGCGGCAGCAGCCAGCGGCAAAGCCGTCTACGCGTTCTGTTCCATGGCGAAATCGAAACTTCCCTTGTTTTGATTGGCTGTGTCAGGTTGGAGGGAATTAAGGTTATTTAAGCGGTTCAGAGTTTAAAAAAGTGGTAGATATGATGTTTCACAAGG